GATACGTGGAGCTGCAAGAAATCAGCGGAGCTGCCTATGGAAAACTCGCTCTCTCGCGTTCTCCCACAGTTGAATATATACGTATACATATACGTATGTATGTATATACGAGTTGTGTTCAGATTTTGGCACTGCTATCTTAACGCCTTGCCATTATTTTGGGGTCAGTTTTTGCATGCTATTTACGCAAAGTGTGAGATAAGATGACTGTAAAGGGCGAACCAACAACGAGTGGCCCACTTTGGGCGAAGGTTTCCCTCCGATATTTATTGAGAGGCGACAAAATAAAGGGGTCACTGGCTGTCCATTCAAATTGAGTTTCAGCTGCATCACATGTGCCGCTAATTGGAAACTCAATTGGCTGGCGAATTGATTAATCGACGCCTTTCAATTGTCATTCCATGCTGGCCGATGCAGAGCGTGCTGCAGCAAACCACCAGCAGCCATGTGGGCTTGTCCAACAGCCAACTGCCGCCGGAGCAGTGCGGCGAGGTGAGCAGCAGTCGAGAGCATGAGCATGTGTGCAGTGCCTGCGGTCTGGTTATGCCAGCCAGCAATGGCAATGAAATGCAGAGCCACACAACAGCAGCAGCAGAAGCAGCAGGAGGAGAAGCAGGAGGAGATGCAACAGAAACAGTTACAGCCACGGCAACAACATTGGACAGCACATTAAAAACAGATGCGGCCACATCGGATGAAGTGCGTCCCAAGCCGCTGTTGGCGGCCATTAAAAAGCAGGGCGTCTCCGCGGAGAGCTCGGTTCAGTCCAAGCAGCAGTCCTACACTGAAACTATACCCAAATACGAGAAAGACTACAGGTGAGCGACTCTTGACGAGCTACGAGCCTAATCGGTCAACTCCAACAAATTTATAACTTCAGCGCCAAGCAGCAGATCAAGGATGCCATCATGGACAATGATTTCCTAAAGAACATCGATGCCTCGCAGGTGCGCGAACTGGTGGACTCCATGTACTCCAAGAGCATTGAGTCGGGTGAGTTTGTCATCCGCGAGGGCGAAGCCGGCGCCCATTTGTATGTCTCTGCGGCGGGCGAATTCGCCGTCATGCAGCAGGGCAAGGTGCTGGACAAGATGGGGCCAGGCAAGGCGTTCGGTGAACTGGCCATACTCTACAACTGCACGCGCACCGCCTCCATACGGGTGATCAGCGAAGAGGCGCGGGTCTGGGTGCTGGATCGTCGCATTTTCCAGCAGATCATGATGCGCACCGGGCTGCAGCGCATTGAGAATAGCGTGAATTTCTTGAAGTCGGTGCCGCTGTTGCGCAATCTCAGCGACCAGCTGCTGGCCAAGATTGCGGATGTGCTGGAATTGGAATTCTATGCGGCGGGCACGTATATCATACGCCAGGGCACGGCGGGCGACAGCTTCTTCCTCATCTCCCAGGGCAATGTGAGAGTTACGCAAAAGCTGACGCCCACTGCGCTGGAGGAGACGGAGCTGCGGATCCTGGGTCGCGGCGATTACTTTGGCGAACAGGCGCTCATCAATGAGGATAAGCGTACGGCCAATATCATTGCGCTGGCGCCGGGCGTGGAGTGCCTCAGCCTGGATCGGGAATCGTTCAAGCGGCTCATCGGCGATCTGTGCGAACTGAAGGAGAAAGATTATGGGGATGAGGATCGCATGCTGGCCATGAAACAGGCGCAGGCCCAGAGCGAGGAGTCGTTCGGTGCGCAGGCGCAACAGGAGTATCCGGATCTGAAGCTGACCGACCTTGAGGTGATCAGCACACTGGGCATCGGAGGCTTTGGTCGCGTCGAGCTGGTCAAGGCGCATCATCAGGGTCGCGAGGACATCTTTGCACTGAAGTGCTTGAAGAAGCGACACATTGTGGACACCAAGCAGGAGGAGCACATTTACAGCGAGCGCAGCATCATGCTCAGCTCGAACTGTCCCTTCATCTGCCGTCTCTATCGCACATTCCGTGATGACAAGTACGTCTACATGCTGCTGGAAGCGTGCATGGGCGGCGAGATCTGGACCATGTTGCGAGATCATGGCTCCTTCGATGACAATGCAGCCCAGTTCATCATTGGCTGCGTCCTGCAGGCCTTCGAGTACTTGCATGCCCGTGGCATACTCTATCGGGATCTCAAGCCGGAGAATCTCATGCTGGACGAGCGCGGCTATGTGAAGCTGGTGGACTTTGGCTTTGCCAAGTATATTGGGAATAGCGCCAAAACGTGGACGTTCTGTGGAACGCCCGAGTATGTGGCGCCAGAAATTATTCTCAACAAGGGACACGATCGAGCCGTGGACTATTGGGCTCTGGGCATTCTCATACACGAGCTGCTCAACGGCGCGTAAGTTTGCATTGGAAATTCAATGAATCTGCTCATTTCCACTAAGAGTTTCCCTTTATCCCAAACAGTCCACCATTTACTGCGCCCGATCCCATGCAGACTTATAACCTAATCCTAAGGGGCATCGACATGATCACATTTCCCAAGCACATCTCACGCTGGGCCGTGCACCTGATCAAGCGCCTCTGCCGGGATGTGCCCTCCGAACGTTTGGGCTACCAAACGGGCGGCATACAGGATATCAAAAAGCACAAGTGAGTAGATATACTAGTGGGGCTAGCTAATGGTGCCACTTGAACTAAGCAATTGTTGCACTACTCCCTAGATGGTTTCTCGGCTTCGACTGGGATGGCCTGTCCAGTCAGCTGCTGATACCGCCCTTTGTGCGGCCCATTGCGCATCCCACGGACGTGCGTTACTTTGACCGTTTTCCCTGTGATCCCACTGAGCCGCCGGATGAGCTTTCTGGCTGGGATGCGGACTTTTAGCCTAATATAAGCCGATACCCTATACCCAATGCAACCATTACCAAGTATTGTAGCAAATGTAATCTCAATGCATACTCAGTAAATATCCTTCATTTTAGAATGCTGAGCTAGTCCGTCTGACTTACTAAACGTGAACGTAACGGTTCTATAGAATTTATAGGCTACATATTTTGCGTTTGTTGGGTACAGGGTATCTGCTGGCCGGACTCATTCGGCTAGAGTACTCTTGTTATTCTTTGTTGCACTAGTTTACTTGACTTTGAACTTATTTTGAATAATTAGCAATGACATAGAATTTTTGTAAGACTCCTTCAAAGTTGTCGTAATACGTTCGGGTCGCCTTCGAAGCGGGCTTCGTGGATAGGCTTGCTGGCTGCCAGTTGCCGTAGCATTTGTGCGTAACGGTCCTTTAGTGGGGCGTAGATCTTGTCACAGTTAGGAGCTGGCTCGGTCGCCAGCTTCAAGTAATCTGGAGAGTTTTGAATGAACTCAGAGTAGCTGAGTTGCGGCTGACTGCCATGGCGTATTTTGCACTTGCAGCAATTGCAATTGACCTCACGATACTCATAGAAGGCGTAGCGGGCTCGATAGGCGGCTCCCATGAGGCGCGGATCAGCGGGCATTTCATACCGGTAGACGGGCGCATTGAAGACGTCGGCTGCAATCTGGAGTATGCTGCTGTTGCTAGAGTGCTCGCCAATGGCAATAATTCTGGTATTGCTGTCTATGATGAACCCGGTACCGACGATAATTCCACAGTGATGCATCATTTGAGCCTCGATGACCGCTCGGGCCTCGAACCGCGGCTCGAATCGCTGTCGTCCGGTTAGTGCCTCGGTAGCTAGCTCAGAGATGGCACTGTCCCAGCGCAGAGTGCCTTGTGCCTTGGGTGTCAGCTCCATTTCATCAAAATGAATTGCAATGTTACCCTCATTGCCGATGGGCGTGTCGGCCAACATTTCATCGAATTGCGTCCAGTTGCCGTTGGCCACTTCCTGGCAGATTCGCTCTCGCACTAGGCCGCCATTGGGGAATCGGAAGAAGTTCATGTATGCATTCGGAATGGTTGGATGGCACATGGTTTGTCCCTCTTCTTCGACACTGCATTCCTTAGTTGGCAGTATGATCATGTCGTGCTGGCTGAGCGATAGAATAATAACATTCTCCTGATCCTTGATGCTGGCCAACAAGCTGGAATTGCTGTTGGTGGCCGCAACAATCATGCAGTCGGATCTAAACTTCCAGCGAGTCACATAGTACTTGTTAATGCGTCCCTGCAGTCGATTCGTGGCGATCGGCGGCATGAGCCGTGATGCTAATTCTGGTGCACAAGCCTCCAAGAGGACTTTCGACCACTCTTTCTCATGTATGCCCAAGAGATTCATTAGCGAGCCGTCAGAGTGGTCAATGGATGCCATTGTGCCAGTCAGCAGCGATGCCAGGAAGCTGCTTATTAGCGATATGCGAACTGTTCTTTGGTATTCGTCCGGATAGGTCACATGAACATTACGTATCTCAGGGCCAGTCAAGCCGGCGAATGCATGAGATCCGGTGATTTTTTTCAGTTTTCTAGCGCCACCAACTGCTTTTTCTATCGCCCTGCACTGAGTGTGAATGCAATCATCATTCACCCAATAAAGGGAGCGCAAAGTGAAACATTTTTCCGTCAGCTGCTCGTGCAGGCTCGTCAATGCAGTTAGGCCACAGAGCGCACGGAAACCGGCCAAGGACCAATATATGGCGCCATGATGATGTGCTGCACCAGCGATGGCTGCCACCTTATATAAATCGGCGCCCTGCGACACCAGACAATTGAACAGTATGTGCAATGCCTTGATATACATCACGGGATTCACCTCAAATTGATCGAGATCCACGCCGGGGTTGACACCCTTTTGGGTTTTGTATTCCGGTAAGTCGACATCATAGCGTACCACAGCATTATGCATCAGCTCAAATTTGGAATTCAGAATCACCGCCTCCAATTTCTCAATGCCCAGGTGGATGCCCATGTAGGTATTTAGACTGTAGTCTGGCGGGGCTCTGTGACACATTGCGATAGGTCCATGGAGAAATATGCAACGAAAACAAGTTTAACTGAAAATTTGGAAAATAATTAAACTATACACATCTGACATACAAAATCCAAAATTATACTAGAGAAAACATGTTGAAAACATTTAGTGTAGATAGAGGTTGGGAATCATAATGAGTAACAAGCATTATAATAAACAATAATAGTTAATAATTTGAAATTACTTGAAGCATTTTTAGGCGATATCTGCTTGGCATTTAACTCTAGGTAGTCCGTGATTGATAAAATTTGATGTGAAACAAGACTCGTTTTAATTAAGGCAAATGGAATGGTGGATTGATGGCAATATATAACACTATATAATCGCATATTGATTTCTTTTTAGTAAAATATTATATAATTTATGCTTATAGCTGTAAAAGAAATATTCCTTTAGTCATGTTGAATGCTGACAAGGAAAAATCTAGAACGAAAATCAAATTGTTTGATTGATTTTTTTATTAATGTTTTATTTTTTTATTATTTTGGGTAAATAAATATTGACATACATGTTTTATATAATAAAATCCAAGCCCTTTTCAAACATATGCCCAAATTGAATACAATTCGATAATTGAATATAATCGATAACTCCCTCAGTTAGTTCTGTTGATCAAGCCTTAAACTGTTTGTGATCTACGCTGTTCGGTGATCTTGAACTGTAGCAACACCACCAAATAGGTGGCCATGAAGGAGATGTTCGTGGTGATCAATTCGCGATTGATGTTGGCATAGCCATCGAGATTCATGATGGGCGGATTCTTGTTGATAGCAACCAGCAACATGTCCACTTCCTTTTGTGTGGCAGTGTCCACGGCAGTTAGATTAATGTTGAGCAATTTGGTCTGGAACTCCATGCCCACCTTGTGTGAGGCATAGTGCGCCTCATTGCAGATGATGTACAGCAGGCACATGCAGTAAAAGACGATGACGAAGAGGCCCACCTCCTTGTAGGTGGCGCCATGATCGATGATCTCACTAATGCTGCCGTAGGTGGCAATGATGCTGGTGAAGAAGATCACCAGACAGTACATGCCATACATGTTCGAGTAGGCGCGTCCCAGCTGCTGCATCATGTGGCTCAGATCCACCCAGAGATGGCGATACTCCGTTAGCTTCTGGGCTGGCTTCTCGCCCTTAATGGTGGCCTGCAGAGCATCCGATAGGGCGTGGCTGGCCGTGCCAAAGGCATTGCAATTGATATACCACAGGCTGCAAAAACAATTCAGCATCGCGATGATTGGATAATAGGCGAAGGTGTACCATAAGCGAAAGTCGGGCTGGAGAAAATACTGCGACAGATTTATGGCGATGCTGAGCAGCCAGGAGAAGACGCACAGTGCATAGGTCAGCGGATAGAGATTCGGGAATACGATAGGTGAGCCCGTCGTCTTGAAGAACTTGTACTGATAGTTCGTCCACATGTTCTTGAAGATGGCCACCTGAGGGCCATGGCGCCAGCTAGCGACGGGCAGCAGAAAGTTCGTGAAGAGCAGACTGATGAAGATGACGTTGTAGATGGCCTCGTCGAAGCGCTTGTCCGGGCTGGTGATGAACTTCTTGACACGCTCTCGCAGCACCAGCACCACAATTGTCGTTTGGCAGCTGTAGATGAATACGGCCCACATTACCTGCTTGGATCGCCAGGAGTAGCCAGTGCGCGGCATATTTCTCACAGGCGGATTACGGTGTATGGGCATGACGCCCATGATCTGGAACAGGACTAGCAGACTTTTGGTGGTCTTGTAGAATGAGTCGTGCTTGTCCAGCTCCAGTGGATCATCCACGGTGTCCGGCTTGCGCACGTAAACATCATCGATGGCATTGCCGCCCGCCAGCATCTTGAGCTTCTCTCGATAGCGCAGCTCGTCCTCCAGAAATTGTCGCTGATTGGGATTCAGCATGGGCGCCACTTTGCCTTGCGGCGTTAAGCCGCGACTAACCGCCCAGAAGGACATGATGTGGACAATAGCTTGGAGCCAACACCGATGCCACAATCCTTGCCAGGCTTTTATATGGCTCGCTCCTGCTATTGACTTTTGATTGAAAAGCAAACAAAAGTGCGAATGCCGCCTACGGGGCGTACCGTTATTTGTTTGCTCTCCATTAAATATAGCCCGGAATATCGTATAGGTATATACCATATATAGCCGTCGGGCTGTGTTTGTTGTGGTCATTTGATGTAGCCTTCTCATGCACTGCCGCGTGGCTATTTTGCTGACAAAGAGCTGAACGGGCGCCCCCGTAATCGGGGACAGGACATGGCGTGAATAATGCTACGCCTCTGTGTCCCTGTGTCTATGTCACTGTATGTGTGTGTGTTTTTTGGGCCAGGGTAGAAGGTATATAGAATGCGCTTAATTTGCCGGAAATGAAAGTTTAACGATGTGTAAATGCTTACGAATGCCCGATAGAGGCTCGCACTAATGACCAATAAAAATGTGGCACCGCTGACCCAATGAATGTAGTGTCGCCTCTTGTGTCTGGATGTGTGTGTGCCCGACTTTTGATCCATTTCTGCCTGACTTATTCAAGGCCAAAGTCAATTCAGAGGCTCGCTCAAGATTAAAGTCAAAATCTATTGAACAGCAGTTGCCACTGAGTCCAGACGCAGCTGTTTGATAGACACACACACAAATACACACCCGCACAGTAAGCATACACACAATCAGCACACACAGCTCTCACACACTCGCTGCACAGTCAGCGAAATTTAAAATGTGTTTAAAATAGACTTTGCTCAAGTCCAAGCACTTCAAAGGCAGCATTTAATTTTCTCAGGCACTCGCCCAACTGTTGCCGGTTTTTTTTTTTTTTTTTTTTTT